TCTCTCAACAGTATGGTTCCAAATTTGGCAGGACCAGAAAAGTTGCCCAAAAAAAAAAAGTTGTAAGCTATTGGAAATAAAATAATCATCAGCTCTAAAACTTTTTTGTAAGTTAATTGTTACTAACTTCTAAGACGAAAATTATATCCCTTTTTTCTCTTGCTAGATGGTTGTGTTTTTTCTAATAATGTCTTAAATTTAATGCACTTTTAAGTCGTTAATTAATTAAGTACGTTTGTAATAAAAAACTTTTATATGTGAAAATAACAGTGTCACCATGCACAATAAATTAATTAATTACAAAAATCTTTAAGGGAAAGAATAATTATTTCACTTTTTTTTTCTGAGTTGAATTCCGAATAATATATTTTATCATAAAATTTTAAAATTCAACTTCAGAATATTCAAGAATTTGAAAAATAACAAAAACATGTTTCCATTTTTGTCACTCCAATTTACTCACAAAAAATAAAAAAATAAAAACTTCAATTTGTAAATATCACTTTTTCACTTTAAATTTTTTAATTTTTTTTTCCGATGAAACATGCCAAAACGTCCACTGGAAAGAGATTAGGTGCACCTTTCCTACGACGTACGGGGCCGGATATTAATAACTTGAGAGACCAATCCAACCAAATTGATTATCGATCAAAAAACAGCTGTACATTATTAAGGTTCAATGAGGTAGTTGTTGCAATTCATGATTTGTAATTGTAGGAGTAATTCAAGTAGTACTAGCAAAGGTTTGATCAGGAGCTCAAATTCGAATTTTGAAAATAAATTTATTTTTAGTAAAAACTGTTTTACTTCAAAAGGAAATTTTTAATCGTATTCAAATTAATTAAAGCTTGAAACGAGTGTCAAATATCAAACGAAAAATTAAAAATTAAATTGTAGGAGTAATACACAGGGGTAAAATAAAAGGATTAGGCACTATAAAGTGTTAGAAATATTTGCCTATTAAATAACCACGAAATGCTATAATTCTTACGTATAATTTCTGAATTTATACCAAAATAATTTACGAGATCAAGAATTCTCGAACAACAAACGACCCGTTCAGGCTTTTGGGTTTGCAATCATCCTCACGTGGTAGGATGGGGCCAAATCCTCTTGATTATGCTAGAAAAAGAGAATTACCAAAAAAGAAAAAAAAGCAAGATTAATAGTGGGGACAGTAACATATGATTATGAATAATAATTAAGACAAGGAACTACCACCAAATTTTAAATGAAAAAATTGACAAGTCAAATGTAGCATTCTTTCTCATAAATAACATCAAAATACATTGATATAAGGAAAATTGAGAAACTAAGACCTTGAAAAGAGAAGGTGAAGATGTCACAAATCTTTAATATTTTGAATTACATATTTTGTAACACATTTAAAATTACTAGATCATTTATTTTATTTTTTTCTACTTACAAGTTGATTAGATATCCATTGTCCAATCCAATCAAGAGTGACAACGTGGGTTATCAACTTATCATAATCATGAAAGTTCAAGGTTACCAGAAAATATTAGGTGATTCATATATATCTAAATTTTAGTGTATAAAATTATTCGATGTATTATAGGTATCATATGAAATAATCAAGATATAATAAATAAATACTAATGTTATTTATATTTATTGAATTCAACTGAACTTGAATTTAGTATTTCAACAAATATTTAAATTCGTTTACTGAATTTCTAAAAAATTTAATTATTAAATCTAAAACTATTTTGGTAACAATAGTCATGATTCTACTTCCACTTCTGAAAAGGCAATCTCAAAAAAAAAAAAATTTAAAAAAACTAGAAGTTATAGTGGCACTAAAAACATATGGTCAAAATTCAAAAATGAATAGGAAGTACCAAAAAAGTGAAAGAAGCAATAGGGAAGCATGCCACCTTGTTTCTTTGTCTCTTTGTAATGGCATTTTATACTAACCTTCTTTTTCTCCACTTTTCAAGAAACTTTTATACAACAGACAAATAATTTTGTCACTCACTACATACTATCCAATATGTAAAATGGACCATATAACATCTACTCCCTTTAATTTCCATTAGACTTCCATCACTTTTTTCCCTACAACGATATATTGCTGAACTTCATCAAAAAATTACATAGTAAATATTAAATTTTCTTGTTATATTTTATATTTTCTTATCGAGAATCCTATCTTTGTTATAACGATAACTCGTTCCTCTTAGCTACATGTATATAATTTGTTTCTTTTGGTTTAGGTATATGTTGTTGGTTGGGATTTGTCACTTGTCAAGGAAATGGTCCAAAGAGGCAAAGGATACTTCGTGGAGTCCTCTTTCGTTTTAGAAGTGTTATTCCAATTTGTGGGGGTCTTTATTCCCAACGTGCAACCACCAACAAATGCTTTAGGTATTTTTCAACAAGAAAATCCCATTAAAACATTACCCTCTTCTATATCTTTACCCTTTTCAAAGATAGGTTGAGTAACAAGTAGGTTGGGTGTTGGGCCCGAGCTTGAGTTGAGTTCGAGTTAACTCTTTAATATTTAGTTATACGTAGTGTTACACTAATAAAAAAATTTAGATTTATAATAAGTTAGTCGATCAAGAGAAATATAAGTATTAGTAGTTTAATTTGGTGATTACATATATATAGAGTCTGAAGTAGATCTTAAATTAAATGATGTTTACTTTATACTGAACAAAATAATCAATAATAAATTGTACAATATTGAATTTATTTAATTTCTGAATTCTTCAATTTAGAATATTAATTGTTTTGCACCATCCATAAAATAGTATTAAGTAACGATGTCTATAAAGAGTTTAATTACATTAAATCAAGGAAAAATGGTCAAAAATGTCCTTAAACTATGTGAAAAGAACAAAAATGCCCTCCGTTTATAATTTGGCTAAAAAATGTCCTTGCAGTCGATACTTTGGTCCATAAAATGCCCCTATAGTTACAAAATGGGTCAAAATGCCCTTTTCCGAATAAATATTTTTTTTTTCTTTTTAAACACACATCTTCTTCCTAATAAAATATTATTAAAGAACACTATTCTTGTTTTCTTTCTTCTATAATTACTTTAACCAAATAAAAATGTCGGAAATATTTTTTTTCTTCTTAATCTCATTTTATCAATATAAATAGAATAACTTCATGTACCCTTTCGACAAATATTATATGTCATATATATAAGATCATAGTATATCCATCATTAATTTATATTTATATAACGATAAAAAATAATGATAATAAAATTAGAAATATTTTCATTTTTTATTTTTTTTGAATTGAAGTAAGATAAACATTTGCTAATTTTTAAAAAAACATTATTAGAAAAAGAAATGCTTTAAAATAAAAGGGAAAAAAGACAAATTTACCCCGAACTATCGTAAATGGTATGTAGATACCTCCGTCATACTTTTGGAATATTGACGCCCCTGCCCTCCAAAAACTAGAGCATATATGCCCTTCACTCTAACGAAAGACTAAACAGGGACACGTGACACAATCTTATCCATTGATCCAATATTTAATAAATGTCGGATTGGTGGATAAGATTATGACACGTTTATGTCCTTTAGTTTAAAGGGTATATATGCTCTAGTTTTTGGACGGCAGAGACACCAATGTCCCAAAAGTATGACAGGGGTATCTACATACCATTTATGATAGTTCGAGGGTATATTTGTCCTTTTTTCCAAAAGAAAATAATAATATATTTATTTGAAAAATGAGTATTTTTGACCCATTAAATAACAATAAGAGTACTTTTTTACCAATGTATTGACGGCAAGAGCATTTTTCGACCAAACTAAAAAGGGAGGACATTTTTCGTCCTTTCGCATAGTTTAAGGACATTTTTGAACCAAAGTATTGACGGTAAAAACATTTTTTAGCCAAACTATAAACTGAAAGCATTTTTATTCCTTACACATAGTTTAAGGACATTTTGACCCTTTTCCCTTAAATCAATTAAAGAAGTACACAATTATAAATTACTAATTTTTAATAAATAATTATTATTGAATTGATGTTTTGCTAACTTAATTAAGATTAATGAATGATTTTTAAAGTAATCATTACATGACCAAAACGAGCCCCTTTTTCTCCTCTCTTCCATTTCTCCCTCTCTTTTTTATTTGACAGAGACAGAGAATATCACTCTATCAATAACAAGAAAAAAAAAGTAACTTTACCTAATCAAGTTGACTCGAGCTAAATTTTGATCAAAACTGAATTGAGCTGGGTCGAACCCAGAGTCGGCTCTGCTCGTTGCACATGCATGTATATGTAATACTTCATATGTTTTATTGTGTGTCTTAGTTTAATCAGATATGAAGTATAAGAAAGTATAAAAAACTTTTAAATTTCACGATAATAAATTAAAGATATATATAAAATATACTTCCTCCGTCCCATTTTATATGTCATCCTTTTCTATAAATAGTTGAACCACAATACTTGTCATTTTATAAAATTTATGCATAAATTACCATATTTTGCCTATTATACTCTTGATGGAGTAGTTAATAAATTTTGAAAATGTATGCATCATTTATTATAAAGTTGACTTAAGAAATCATTAAATAAGAATAGAAAGGTAAAGTTATATCATTTCTTAATGCAAGTGCAAAGTAAAAATGTGACATATAAAATGGGACGGAGAGAGTATTTTTTAAATTTTGTGCTTCTAAACCTACCACTATTTTGGTGAGGATGGAAGGAATGGGATGGAGAGGCAATTAATACAAAGAAAAATAGAGCATAAACATGAGATGAAATGAATTCCTTCCATATAAACGGCACATGCCACCATCTGTTCTCTCTTTCTCTTGCCAACTCCCTTCTCCCTCTCTCTAATCTTGACTTGTTCTCTCTCTCTCTCTCCTTTTCCCTCTCTCTGCGGCAACTTTCTTCACAAAGCCAAAGTCCTCTTCAAGATTTTGTTTTGCCACAATCTCCGCAAAAACCCCATTTCCCCTTTACACATTTCACTCCTTCCATTTCCATAAAAAATGATTGCATTTTCAAGACTTACCCTTTTCTAACCAGATCTTGAATCTTCGTTTTTTCCATTAAAATGTCATAAAGTTTCAATCTTTTTAACACCCAAGTGTCAGTTTTTTCAAGAAAATGGAACACAAGCATATGCTCATACTTATTATAGTACCATGTTCAGTAACTGCTTTAATTGTTTTGTTGTTAGTGATCTATTTATGTACAAGGAAAAGAGGGGAAATTGTTTCTAGGGATGTTGAAGCTAATTTTGAGGTAAAAGAAAGAGATGGGGTTGAAAAAGATTTGTTGATCAAGTTTCAAGATGGTGAAGATCTTACTGTGTATGAAATCTTGGATGCCCCTGGTGAAGTTATTGGGAAATCAAGTTATGGAACTTTATACAGGGCTAGTTTGCTGAGTATTGATAGACTTACATTGTTGAGGTTCTTGAGACCAGCTTGTACTGTCACAATGAAAGAAGTTGTGCCTGTAATGGAGCTTTTGGGGTCTTTAAGGCATCCTAATTTGGTGCCTTTGTGTGCATTTTATGCAGGGCAAAGAGGAGAGAAACTGATGGTACATCCTTTTTATCGTCATGGTACTTTAGCTCAATTGATTAGAGGTATGTGCTCTTGCTGTTTTTTTTAATATACAAGTATTAAAATTGTTCGTGTGGACTATACTGGATATGTTATAAGTATTAGAATTGTGTTACCATAATTTTAAAACACAATGACTTGAGTGCTAACAAATCTTTAAGCCTATGGTGTGGTGTTTATTCAAAAAAGTTTGTCTTGGAAATAGAATAAGAAAAAACAAGAGTGGTCATTTTAATGATTTGTAGCATCTGGCAGGAGATGTTGATTTTCACAATAATTTTCTGTTTTCTTCTATTGGTTAGTAATACAAAATTTTCATGACAAAAAATGGGATCTTGATTTTGCCATTTGGTGCCTTGAAAAAAGTCTCATTCAATCATTTTCTCACAACTGTAAGGGACTTCAATAATTAGATATCTATATGCAGTTTGAATTTTTAGGTCCTTTGATTGTTCCCTTTTCTTTTTCACTTTTTTTTTGGTGACATCTCAACATCACTGTTTCTGAATCTGGAAAGCACAGATGAACTTTACTTTCTTCCATTTTTTTCGAATATTTTTTGATATTATATTTCTCCATATTTTGTGTTGAAAAAGTTTGTTTTCTGGATTTAAATGGATTTTGTTTTCTTCTGCTTATTTAAAAACCTACACATGTGCAGTGCTATAGTTTAACATATCTTGCCTCAAATTTCAGTTAGTTTTCTTGTCAATTTAGAACCTAATAGTAGGTACTTTGTCAAAATTATAGTTTCATTAATAACTAATCCGTGTTAAGTTGAACCACTCTCAAGTCTAAAGTATACACATGTATTAGTTTTCAATATATGTCTCAAGTATACAAATGTATTTGTTTTAAGAACATTGTGTCTAATGATACAGACGGGAACGGTGAGGCTCATAAATGGCACATCATATGTAGGATCTCCATTGGCATTGCTCAAGGACTAGACTATCTTCACACAGACTTAGAAATTCCCATAATCCATGGAAATCTCAAGTCGAATAATATACTTTTGGATCGACACTTCATGCCATATGTGTCCGATTTTGGATTGCATCTTCTCTTGAATCCAACTGCAGGCCAAGAAATGCTTGAAGCTTCAGCAGCTCAGGGGTATAAAGCCCCTGAATTGATCAAGATGAGAGAAGTTAGCGAAGAAACTGATATTTACAGCCTTGGGGTTATCTTGTTAGAGTTATTAACAGGGAAAGAAACATTCTACAGGAAACCAAATTTTGATAAGGATATTTATTTGCCTAATGCCATTCAAAGTGCGATTCTTGATCATAGAGTTGCGGATTTTTATCATCCACAAATTCTAGTTAGCCAAACTGATGATGGCCAAAGGGTGGTTAATGAAGATCATGTCTATGAATTCCTTCAGCTTGCTGTGGCTTGTTGTTCTCCCTCACCTGCTCTTAGGCCTAATATAAAGCAGGTCCTCAGCAAGCTTGAAGAAATTGGAAAGTAAAATGGACAATCTTTATGCTTCTGCTCGAAGCATGACGTGTTTCTGACTGACTTGATCAAATCGATCGATATCAACATACTTTAGGTCATGATAAGCATGCTGATACAACACACTGACTTTTTGTGAGGAAACTGTTTTTTGAGGACATGTCTCAACTCCCTAAGTGCAATCACAGCAAGAGAATGTGGTGAAGCTTATATCAATTGGCAAGAACTATGAAGTTGGTGTTCAGTTTTTTGGCAAAGCAGAAGTTTTCACCTCAAGAATCAGAAGCAAGTTTCTGGATCCTGAAGATTAGCTTCCAATGTCATCCTCAAGATTCAAAAAAGTTGTATTTTGTGACTCACACAACTGACACTAGTCGAGTGAGACTCATTTTTGTCTCACAAAAAAATAAACCCAAAAGTGTAAGATTTGAGTCTACTTTTTCGTGAGACAAAAAGAAGCCTCACACAACTAGTATCAGTGTTGTCATAAAGAAAGGGGTTGATGGATTAGGAAGTACACATCGCGATATGACCAAGATATATTTGTAAAATACAGTCAAAGATTAGAGAGTGACATTTAATTAGTTTATCCTGTGATAGAAGAGATAACAAGCAGTGGACTTGCCTTAATTTCAGAGAAAATCTGGTTACAGTTGGAAGTTCCAAAGATATGATTACCAACAACCAGTTGTGAAGTGTTTTGTTGTTTTTGGTTAAAAGCTTTAACATTAGTTAGAAAAGACACACTGTTTCAGCAACAAGACAAAGAAGAGCCATTTCCCATTATTGAAATTATTGATCTGCCAGTTTTGTCATTGTGTGACAAAGTCTAACACCATAAGATTTATAAGCTTACTACATATAGATTTGATTACTGTATTCTCCTTTCTCTTACGTATGCATTATATCAAGATGCTCTCTCTGTTTCCCAATGCACGTGCACATACCATCACACAAAAAAATATGTAAGATAATTTCTTCTCATATGCTTAATTTCTTTATTGATCGAGAGTGTATCGTAAGGGACAGGTAAGATATGAGTTGAATTAATCAAAAGAAAAGCGGAGACTTGCCATTTGCTAACATTGTGGTTGGCAGAGTGATAAAAAACAATCAAATTCAATAGAACAAGAAATTGAACTCATACATAAAATCCTTAATTATGAACTCAAAAGAGGTTCAATTGAAGAGATACATACAATGATTCTTCCTCGAAACTCCTTCAATGAAAGGTTGATTCCATCTCATGATTACTATCTTGTGAGTAATCATCACAATTCAAAGAGTTATCTAATACATATACAAGTCAACAAATTAGTCTGTATGTGAAAATTGACTCGAATGCTATTGTTATAAACCAAATAAAAAAAAAAGACATCCCATGTAAAGGTTAGCTGGCTCTAGTTTGGTGTTTTGTGACGGGGAGAAACATTTTGATTAAACAGGTGTTAGTGTGTATTATAACCAACTCCATAAATATCTTCAAATTGCTTGTATGTCCCAATTATATATACATAAATGTTGTTTGGCTTTATGTCACGCCCCGAGCCTACACCCTGGGCGGGACCGGCACCCGGAGACCATTTCTAGCCCCAAGCGAACCCTTGGCCTGGCTTTCTTAACTCAGCGGAAACCTCAACAGAATAACTCAATGCAATGCAATATTACAAAACAACTTAACTTATAAAATATGGCCATAAAGGCAACTCGAATCTCAAAATAGAATATTTACATATATATAGATGAGAGACTCAAAACTAACTGACTGACTGTCTGTCTATGAAGCCTCTAAAATACTGAGATGGATGTTGGGACAGACCCCGCAACATCCTAATAAAACAAAAACTAAGAACACAAAATAATTGAGTCCTCCGGAATGCAAGGAGGCTCACCACTGACTCTGGAGTGCTCAGCTGGATCAACGACGTGCAGGATGCTGATCCGGGGTACCTGAATCTGCATCATCAAACGATGCAGGCCAACTGGCATCAGTACATGGAATGTACGAGTATGCATGCTGGAAAACTAAGCAACAAAGGCTAGAAGGAAAACTGGAAGAAACTGAATAGCTTACCTGGCTCAACTTAACTCAACCTGACTGACTTCTTTCAATATAAGGCAATTTAAAACAAGTGCGATATAAAGAAAGATTGCTTAAAACATGCTATGAACTCTGTGTGTATACAAGGATACAATAAGCCTGAAATGTGTATAAAAATACAATGAACTGATGTATATAAAAAATACAATAATCTCTGTGTATGAAAAAATACAATAACTGCTGTGGGAGTTTCTCTAACCGACAACCATCACATAAGAGCTATAGTGATGATACAACGATCGACCTCACGCTGCCAGAGCATCTTATACCCGGCCAAAGGTATAAGACCTGAACTGCCTAATGGATCCACTAGTCTAATCTGAAAAGGATTCATCTAAAAAGTATGATCTTTTTCTACCCATGGTGGCTAACATGGTTCTATGGGGGCTGTGGGTTCTTTGAACGCTCCCCCAATTCGGTGCTCGATACTACTCCCAAAAATGTACTGGCTCTTATGTTTTTAAAACATATTTCTTCCTGCTGATATGAGATAATTACTCAAAAACTAGCCCGAAGGCTTTTTGGAAATCTCAGTTTCCAACCTTGTTTAAATGTAAAAACATTTCTTTAAAACTTCTTTGGGAATACATAGTTCCCTAATAACTTTGAGAAAAGAACTCAACTTTAAACTCTTTACTTTACTTGAACTCTTGGCTTGATGTGAAACTCTTAACTTAACATGAAACTCTTAACTTTTGACTTGACTTGAAACTCAATACTTAACTTGGAACTTGAGCCTTAGAATGAAGTTAAAACGCTCAATGAAGACTCTTGGAAAACCTTAAAGACTTGCTTTGACTTACTTACTTCTAAGCTTGACTTCACTTGACTTGGAAACTAACTTCACTTGAATTGGAAACTAACTTCACTTGACTTGGAAACTAACTTCACTTGACTTGTAGTTTTACTTGACTTTTGGAAGTACCTTGGAGTGTTGGAAACAACTAGGAAACATAGGTATAATACCTAGGAACATGTATAAAAAAAGAAATGGTGAATGAAAGGGAAGGATTGGTGTCCTTGGCACTAGGAGAGGTGCAATAGCCCAGCCCCTTTTTCCCCAAAAATCCGACTTTTTCCCCTTGTTTCTTTCCAATTCTAAACCCTCTCAACCTCAAGGTTTCAACAGCAACACTTAGAATCATAAAGACCCTTATTATACAATAGATTCAACTCAAAAATCACAGCCAGAAATCTGTACTAAATCAGCAAGAACTTCAACACAACACCACTACAACTTCAACAACCAATAAATCTTCTCTTGGAATTAAAAACGAGTTGGTGTGTGGGGGTATGAACCAACCAACACTAAGGATCATAAAATCCCTCAATATACAATAGGTCACAACTCAAATACACAGCCCAATCCTGTCCCACAACCAACAATAACTTCAACAACACAACTAACAACATCAACAACAACTAACAACTTCAACAACTTCAACAACAAATCCAATCTCTTCTCAAATCATAAAAACGAGCTTGGTATGTGGGGGGAAAGGATAAACCCACACTAAAGACTCACATACCTTGATAGGGATCACCCCCGACGAAAATCCACAATGATCTTGACAAATCTTGTTGATCTCCTCTTTCTTCTCTTCTTCTTCTCCTTCTTCTCTTTTTCTTCTCTTGAACCCTAACTCTTTCTCTTTCAAAATGGGACAAAATGATCCAAATATCAGCCTAATACAACAATATAAGCTGAAAAGAAATTATTTGTGAAAAGACCAAAATGCCCTTAAATTTCCGGAACGGAATCCCTGCCAACTGCCCAACTTTCAAAGATCATAACTCGCTCATACGAACTCGGAATTGAGCAAACTCAGTGGAGTTGGAAAGATCGTTCCACAAGCTTCGAAACCATAACTGGAACTACTCCTAACTCATCCTGAGCTAGTAGTTATGACTGCTCAAAGTTGGCCAAAAACTCACTGATTTCCACACTTAGCCAAATTTTCCAGATTTTAAATTTTTCCAAAAATGACTATTTCCAAATTTCAAGCTTCTTCATATTCATTTTTAAATTGTCGGATGTTACAATATCTCTCCCTTGGGAACATTCGTCCTCGAATGAAGTAACTCTTACAAAGCTAAGGGTGTAACATCAACTCAACACCCAACAAACAACCATGCAAACACAACAACAATAACGACATGCTCATTATAATTTATAGAGCACTAAGAAGGAAATTAATACCTTAATCTGCGGATTCAAAGAGATATGAATATCTCTTCTTCATGTCTTCTTCGGCTTCCCAAGTTGCTTCCTCAACAAATTGGTTCCTCCATAGGACCTTAACTGAGGCTACATCTTTCGTTCTCAACCTACGAACTTGACGATCCAAAATTTGAACAGGAATCTCCTCATAAGATAAGTTATCCTTGATCTTGATACTTTCAGTCGGTAGGATCAATGAAGGATCGCCTATGCACTTCTTCAACATGGAGATGTGAAATACCGGATGAACCGCTGCTAGTTCCTGTGGTAACTCCAACTCATAAGCAACATTGCCAATCCTCTTGGCTATGCGGTAAGGTCCAATATACCGGGGACTAAGTTTCCCCTTCTTACCAAACCTCATAACGCCTTTCATGGGTGAAACCTTCAAATATACCCAATCGTCTATTTCAAATTCTAACGCCCTTCTCCTAACATCGGTGTAGGATTTCTGACGACTCTGTGCCGTTTTCAACCTCTCTTGAATCACTTTCACCTTCTCCATAGCTTGGTGAACTAAATCTGGTCCTATCAACTGTGCTTCACCAACTTCAAACCATCCAATAGGAGATCTACATCTTCTCCCATAAAGAGCTTCATATGGAGCCATCTGGATGCTAGAGTGATAACTGTTGTTGTAGGCAAACTCAATGAGAGGTAGGTGATCATCCCAACTCCCTTTGAAATCGATCACACAAGCCCTCAACATATCCTCTAAAGTCTGAATAGTGCGCTCTGCTTGCCCATCCGTCTGAGGGTGAAAGGCAGTACTTAAGTTCACCTTTGAACCCAAGCCCTTCTGAAAAGATTTCCAGAACTGTGCAGTAAACTGTGCACCTCTATCTGAAATAATGGAGATTGGGACTCCATGAAGTCTCACTATCTCTTGAACATACAACTTGGCATAATCTTCTGCTGTATTGGTAGTCTTTACCGGTAGAAAATGAGCTGACTTTGTCATTCTGTC